TGTCTCAGTATCATTTTATCAGACCCCATTTGTAATATGGGTTCTTTTTTCATGTCCTGAGTCATGTCTGCATGGCCAAAACCATTGGATCTAGGTTTCCATTGTCCACTGCACTGGAGACGGTAAATTCCCGCCCTGGCCTCTGCATCCAACTGTACATGCAGTGGGGGGAGTCCAAGGAGTGTCTCCAGTGCAGCTGTTGGAGATGTTCGAAATGCTCCTTTGATGCCTAAGCAAGCCAACCTTTGCAGTTTGCTAAGTTCTGTCTTGCTAGTCTTGAATTTAACTCTGATCCACCATACTGTGGCACCATAAGTAATTATGGGTTTCACAACCGCAGTGTATATCCAATGTATAATGTGTGGCTGCAGTCCCTTAGTTTTACCAAACATGCTTCTGCATGTCCAAAAAGCCGTATAGTCTTTGTTAATGACTTTGTCCAGCTGCTTTTTCCATGTCAGTCCCTTGTCTAATTCTAGACCAAGGTACCTGACATCGCTGGAGAGCTGGATTGTCTTATTGAAGAGAGTCGGTTCCTTAAGACCCTTTAGTTCTCTTCCTAGTAAACGGTATAATTACCGTCTTATTGGGATTGATGGAAAGACCTGTTCTTTCACACCATCGTTGGCCATGTACAGAGCTGTTTGAATACGCTCTGATATGGTCGAAAGGAATTTTCCATTTATGAGGTTTGCTATGTCATCAGCATATCCTACTGTATAACACCCATCTTCATTAAGTTCCTACAGGAGATCGTCGACTACCAGACTCCACAGCAGAGGCGAAAGTACGCCTCCGTGCGGACATCCCCTAGACGTGGATGCCCCCAGGGTTTCGCCTGATAATGTAGCAGCTATGGTTCTGCTTTCCAGCATAGCATTGATCCATCTGCATATTGCAGGCTCTATGGCATGCCTTCCAGCAGCCTGTTTGATTATATCAAATGACGTTCTATCAAAAGCTTCCTCTGTATCAAGGAATGCTCCTAAGGCAATATCCTTGTGTTCAGTTGCCCTTTGTATGCATGGTACCACATTGTGTAGTGCACTTTCAGTAGATTTACCTATTTGGTAGGCATGTTGGTTTCGCTGTAGAGGATATGTCCTCAATATGTTCCTGATATGCCTATCCACTAGTTTCTCCATCTTTTTCAAAAGGAAAGATGACAGACTGATAGGACAATAAGCCTTAGCCTCGATGTAATCAGATTTCCTGGGCTTTGGAATAAACGTCACCTTAACTTGCCTCCAGGCTGTGGGGATGAAACCATATGCCATGCAGGCTCTATATATGCGGCATAGGTTTGGAACTAAAAGTTCTGCTCCATGTTGCAAAAGTGCTGGTACAATTCCATCCGTTCCCGCTGATTTAAATGGTCTAAAAGTGTTCAGTGCCCATCTTATTTTTGATTGATTAATTATGACTTTGGCCAGGTTCAAGTCTACCCTGTTCATCTTGCTTTGGCAAGTGTCTAGGTTCTGCTGACCCTGTCCATCATCCAAATTGTCAATCAGTTTTGAACCAGGAAAGTGAACTCTGAATAATTCATTCAGTGTTTCCCTTCCTGTTTGAGTATACTGTCCGTTAGGCAGCTTAATTGTGCTGACCTTATTGGTCGCCTGTTTTGCCATGATCCTCATGAGTCTGGCACCACCTGCTACATTGATCTCCTGGCAGTGTCTCCTCCATGAGGATTGCTTGGCTTTCTTTATTTCTTTCTTGTAACAGGCAAGAGCTTCCTTATAGGTGTCCCACTGCTCTGTTCTTTTAGCTGTATTGAACAGCCTTCTTGTTTTGATCCTAAGCCCACTCAGCTGTTTATTCCACCAAGGCATTCTCCTTGGTCCGCGAGTGGTCTTAACCAGACAATTCTGATTAAAGGATGAGATAATAGCCCGTTGCAACTGGTCAACGGACTGATGAGCATCCTTTATTGTGTGTATATTACATGAGATGGCCTCTAGAGTTACCTTTAGGTCGTCTTTGTAAGACTCCCAATTGGTTCTCTTAGGATTCCTATAAGTAGTTTGATCTACTGTGATCTTTCTTATTTTAAAGCATATATATCTGTGATCCGATAGGGACGGCTCATGAGATACATGCCAGTTGCTTACCAGGTTTCTTATGCTATTTGTCCCTAGTGCCAGATCAGTAACCTCCTTCCTATTGCAAACCCCAAAGGTAGGTTCGTTACCATGGTTTAGAATATTCAGGTTCGAACTCACCAGAAATTCCATAAGGCTCTCTCCCCTTGGGTTAGTGCGGGTGCTCCCCCACAAGATGTGGTGTGCGTTGGCATCACACCCAGTGATGAGTTGCTTCTTCCTGCTAAAGCAGTAGTCTATGATGTCCCTCATTTCCTTAGTTGGTGGTGGTTCATCTGAGTCGTATGGAAGGTAGACGGATGCAATAATCAGCTCCCTGCTGCCTCCTCGATACATGTATGTTATCCTTACCACTCTTGTATCCCTAGAACAGAGCTCCAGCAAAGGCAAGGCATTAACATGATTCCTGATATAAGCACAAGATCTTTCATTATTACTGGGTACAACAGAGTAAACTGTTCCCCCTGTATTATTTAAGCCCCTTATTCGACACTTGTATATCCAAGGTTCCTGAATAAGTGCTATATCTGCCTTACCCTCAGCTAGCTGTTGGCACAGAGCTGCCATGGCAGCTTTGCTGTGGTGTAGGTTGATTTGAAGAAATTTCCATCTTATGTCCCTCTTCTTTCTCGGACTGGGTTCCGTGTGTAGAGGTCCCCTGACCCATTTTACTTTGGTCATCCGGGGGGGGGGTACCTCATCCCCTTCCTCCTCAGAGACTGAGTTGGAAGATACAGTGTCTGTCACGGGTTCTGCCCTGTGCTGAACTTCAGGATCGTCCAGCACCTTAACAGTCCCCTGTGAGAGTCCTGTAAATATTTTATGACCGGTCCTCTGTACATAGCATAGGAGTCCCTGTCTATGAATAGGATAAGTCTTTGGCCTTTCGACTCAGATTGCTTGTCTAATACCCTCCAGTTCTCTGTATGAAGTCCTGAATTAAGGTCTGCAATAAATTTCAGTAGCTCTTCCTGGTTTTGGGCAATTTTGTCCCTAGTCTGGAGAGCTACTGTAACAGGCTTGGGCAGGTTCCTGGCATCAGTAGCCTTCAGCCTGGTCCCTGATTTGAGCCTGTGGTTGTCAGTGGCTCTGATGAGCCACTGACCAGACTGTTGGTCGGCACATATATAGATAAGTGCACCTCCCAACAGTCTGTAGGATTTCAGGTGTGGTAGTTCTTCCTTTGGAGTCCTACATAACACATCGCCCAATGCTTCCAGAATGGAATTTTACTCGTTTTTGGTAAGTTTATCCTCAGGGTAAGTATCCTTGAAGATAGCCACCTTTACATTGGTCAGAGCCTCCTTGTAAGTCCCTGGTCCTTTACAGTCCCTGGGCTTTTTCAGAGTTCTAGCCGTTTCTGTAGGAGTACTGCCCTACGACCTTGGCCTCTTAAAGGTGCCGGTGGGGGTTTCTCCCTGCTTGGACGAGCTTGCATTCCCTGGTTGCTGACTGCTCCCAGTTCCTGCTTTGCCTGTCTCAGCTTTTGCCTGTTCGAACTTCCATCTAGCGGCCCCAGACAAAGGTTTCTTCGCCAGACGTGGTCCACCTATTCCAGAGCCTAGGTGTCCCAGTCTTTCCCCTGCTGCAGGTATGTTAGAAGTACTGGCTCCCTGCAGTGGTGTGTCAGTACTACTGACTCTCAAGAGAGCAGTTTTTGGTTTTGCCTCTGGCAAGTTTTGAATCACTGGTTCATCCTTGCCTTTGGCTGAAATTTCAACAGCAGGTTTGCCAGTTGCAACTGGGCCCCTTAATGGTTCACCAGAGCTTCCAGCTCCCTGCTGAAGCATTTCTCATAGGGATCCCCTTGAAGGGGGGTCCCTCTTCAGTTTAAGGTCCTTGCGACCGGTTTTTGTTTTGGTTCCCTTTTTCATTTCGGTCCCATAAGTAATGGGGTTTTAAGAGGTCACCACCCACAGAGCCCCGTATGGGTGGAAGGCAAATACAATGGGGTGCTGCCTGGTGCCCTGAGGGGATTGTTCACGACACTGGCCAATAACCACCCCAGTGCCATGCAGCCCTCGGCACGATGCCTCCCACCTTGGCTTAGGAAGTTGGTCCTTCATAAGTATAACCCCCACAAGCCTCCAGGACCAAGAGTGCATGTTTGGGGGAGAGGGGTATCCCAGATGATAAATGGGAGTGCGATACTAGTCATGAGGTTGCGACCACGGCATCCTACACGAGATTATCGCCCCTGTAGGTTGCTTCTGAGCTCCCCCATTCCCACCCCTCCACATGGGTTGGTCAAAACCATTTTAGAGTGTTGAGCCCTAAGGCTTGCAGCACCTTATTGGTACTCTAGGGAGACAACTCAAATAGCTGTAGCTACCCCCATGGGAGTGCTCTCCCGCATGCGTCCCGGGTACATCGTAATGAAACCCAAAAGTCATTATGCAGCCGCGTGGGAGGATCTGGTCAAATAGCCATCACCCCTTGTGGAAACTTGGCCACCAGCCCCAGAAGCTCATGCTAATGCAGACCCCCAAGACTGTCGTTGCCCAGCAGGACCACAAGGAGGTGTTCCAAAGCTGTGTCTCAATGCATCCCTGGTCTATGATACATCCCCACCAAGACACAGCCACCCTCCCTAAAAATGCAATCGTATGGATTCAATATAGAATATTAATTTATGTAATTATTGGCCCCAAAGAGCCTGCAGTTAATTTATGAAAGTATGTGTTGGCACTGATTGCACCAATTCCTTTCTTCTGGCTAGTGCTTAAAAATGTATGAATAATTATGTGAGACCAGTTGTCATTTGTAGCTTCAATCTGTCATGGATTCTTTCTATCATCATAAGTTCTAATTTTCGGTGTAATGTGAACAACAGAATGCATGCATTACATTTGCTTATGATTTTAAATTAAAATTAATTTGTTTTGGATGTTCCAGAGAAGTGTACTCGGTGTGGTATGGCCGTGTCGGAACAACCAGTTTTATACCATCTGAGAAGGTCCAGGAGCTCTTCAATGACATGCAACTCTACCCATCTAAATCACAAGGTAATTAATTCTGATAAAACATCTTACCACTGCAGGGGTTGGTGCTATATGTGGGTGGATGGAATGTAAGGTACTGTTTATGCAGTGATACTGTTTATACGAGTACTGATATGCCTCTGCAAATAGCAGATATAGTGATACTGTACATGAATGTTTTTCGTTGGTATGATGACTTCAGTATCTGTAAAATGTTGAATTGAAATATACAGGGTGTCCCAGGAGGAAAGGTCAGTATTCTGGGAGGTCATAGCATCCGTCATTCAAAGCAAAAAAGCGTATATGTATATGTGTCCTATTCTGAACAGTTTCTGAGATAGAGCTATTTCACTGTACAGTACACTATACACTTTACAGATGAGGAACATGCAATGTCCCCACACGAGTTGCAAAGTGCATTGATGTTGACAGAATTTTCGAAAATGTATTATACTAAGTAATGGTACTGTCACCCTTTCTTTCTTTGTACTTATGTGCCTGCTTCGGTAGACCACTTGACTCCTATCAGGATTGTGTTACGGCAGTAACTAAGGCAACCAGAAACTGCATGCTTGAAGCCAGTCCACTGCTTGAAATCAACAACACAACTTCCACTGTCCACAAACTGTTTATTTATTCTGAAGCTAAATATTATAACTTCCTTTGCAAGCACTGAGCAATGCAGCCCCTTAATATTATCAACTTTTAACGATCCAAAGTGAAGGACTGATGAATTTAGAGAAACATGAGGAGTGCAATCCAATGACGTCTGCCTCCAATCAATTCAAAATGCCAAGTTTTTGAAGACTGATATCCTCCGAGAGCATTGCTTCATCCCTCAAGAAGGATTCAAATTGACGGCCTTTCTCCCAGACAAGAATTCATTTCTTATTGGCTGATTCTAACTAGCCAAATTGATTATGCAATCAGCGCAAGCCAATCGCATAAAAACCTTTGAGAATAAAACAGTTCCCAAGATATAGAACTTGGAACCCCACATGTGAGAGCAGTTATTTTCATTAGTTTAGGGACCAGCTACACCCTTCTGAAGACACTTTATGACAGCTACACATGTCAACAAAACAAGATTCACATCTTGGAAAAACTACAGACTTGCCTCTTGTAGTGACCTTGTCCGCTTCTGGCCATCCATACTGCATGTAAACAAAAACAAGGCAGTTGTTTTCTGTCCAGATAGGAAAAGCAAGTCATAACATGCCAATAAATCAGTCTCGCCAATAAAACATTCACCCTTCCGAAATGGCTAAAGAGGACCATAGTGTCCACGGAGAACTGTAACAGGTTTGGACGTTCACAGTAAACTGTACCAACTCTGTCACTTGAACTATAAATACCAGTATTAGAAGGAACTGTACTGTGAAATAGCTGAATCCTGGAAAAAGCATTAAGAATAGGACATGTACCTATACACCTTCTGCTAAGAATGATCAATACTATTTGATGACCTCTTAAAATATTGACCTTTCCTTCTGGGACTCCCAGTATATGGCATGTAATTGAATGGTGCAGACAAATTTGAGCATGAATTCCACTTAGCAAAACAAGAAACAATTTCCACATCATCATGTGTCCGGAAACATTTAATTTGTGAGTTGCAGCCGAAGGAGTACTCATATTATAATTGGTCAAAATGTCCTCCATGAGATTCAGAGCATACCTTGACATGTCTGATCATGGACCACTGCATCCAATTGTAACGTGTTTGGGTGTGTCACGCTACAAATAAGTTTACGCTGTGGTGTTTGATATAGCAGATTTATTCCACTTGTTCACCTTACCCACTTTACAATCATTACCACTTGCAGTGTTACAATTACTGCTTACAATATCTCGGCGATACTGTACTGTCTTCTCTGGCGGTTTATAGCAGACTCGCTCTGCGAATGCATTCAACCCCGTTTTATAACCTCGGTCGCTGCTATGCAACGAACCCTTTGGTATAACCCTGGAGACTCCTGTTAGAACTACAATAGAGTGATTGTTGTTTCCTATGCAACGGTCTATTCTAGCGTTTCCATAGAAGTGACTCTTCTGGATTCCAGACACGTTACACATTCAAAGATGCCAGAGTAGTTGCAGATAGTCTGACAGGCACGGACAATACTATGTGCCTCTTCACGTGTGCCCACAGGTAAAAATCCTGAGGATTCAAGTCAGATGTGCATGGAGGCCATGTATTGGTTCCTCCTATACCCATCCCTTGATCATGATAGACGTTATTGAGAACCTCTCGCACAGCACTGCTAAAATGAATGACAAACAGGTCATGTGGGAACCTCCCACAGTCAAACACTCCAAGCTTTGGACCCCCCATCCCCCAGTTGTCCATTGAGGATGTAGACAGGCTTCACCATGTTGTTTGACACTGTGATGGGCCTGCCGTGCACAAGGAGTTGCATTGTCTTCTCCGTCTGTGGCAGTCATGACTAGCTTGCAAATTAAATCTGATAGGGACTTCTTTCTTGTTTTGCTATGAGGAACTCACGCCCCAAGTTGTCCCTGCCTTTTGCTTACATTCTGCTTGTGGCCAAGCCATTGAAGAGAGGAAATGTGTTTGAATTGGAAGCAGTGGAAAATCACTGCTGAATAATGTTAAGCTAGAACCCCTTCCCATCTTCTGGACTCGCCAGGAATTGGGAAGGAGTTTAGTACTAATGTCAGTAGACAGCATCTTTCAGTAAGAAAAATAATATAATTTGAAATTAGGCATTTATGTTGAGAATTCACACAGTTATGTGGCTTTTTCTTTTTAATTGTGCATTTCAAATTGACTAGTTATTTACACAATTTTCATACCATACATGTAGTAATAGTTCAGAGAATAATATTAAAATGTATTTTAGAGATATATGTTTTGGGGAAATGGGGTTATGGACTGAATTCGTCTGGCTCAGGATAGAGGCCAGTAGTGGATTCTTGTGTGCAGAGTAGTGAACCTTTCAGCTCCATAAAATGTTGGGAATGTCTCAAGTGGTTGAGCAACTTTTAGTTCCTCAAAAAGTCGTGCTCCATGGATTTAGTCATTTTCATAATGATATTTATTTATTTATGTCTTATTCAGTGACACTGTCAGTAGCTTAAACTACAGTGTTGAATATTACCAGTAATTGTCATCCTTAACTCTTCAGTTGCAGTCATCATCTTCAGAGAGGGGGGTATGAGGCAATATGTAGGTTTGTATTTATAATGGCGACAGACCAGTTTCTGTGACCAGAATAGTATCCAATGTGTATGTCAGTTTAGTAGTTGCTCAGGTACTTTTAAATTTCCCGTCTTTTATGGACCGAGTAGGTTCATTGTCATGTTCAGAAGAGTGTGCCACTGTATCCATCATAACCTGAACCACTGAATCCAGCCCACCACCCTCCCATCATATTTCCTTGAGATCCATTTTAATATTATCCTCCAAATAATGCCAAAGTCTTTCAGGAGGTCTTTGTCTTTCCCTTCAGTTTGCCAGTTATTCTTTAAGATCCAAAGTGCAATGATTGGTACAGTGAGGAGTACGTTTAACACCCGAAAATGCATAGTTCCATGTCACATACGTATCTTGCACATCAGTTGCCTTTCATTTTCTTCCAAACAACGTATCATTGCCATTTTATGATGATACGAAACTACGATGTTTGAATTCACCATGAACTGACAGAAAACTGATTGCACTCTGTATCTCAGCTATGATGCATGTACAAGGTCGTTCAAATATGACCGGGACTGATTTTTTTTTTAAACCAAAATTGCCAAACACTCACTTGCACATGTCAGTCTTCAACGTGCTCCCCTCCGGAGTCAGCACATTTTTTCCAACGTTCTGGAAGCATCCTGATGCCCTTTTCAAAAAAGTTATGTGGTTGGTGGTGTATCCACTCCCGAACATTCTGGATGATGTCCACAAACCACATGCCTTGCAAGTCTGATTTGAGCCTTCTGAACAGGTAGAAATCACTTGGTGTCAAATCGGGACTGTACGGCGGATGTGTCAGAAGGTTCCATTTCAATTTCTGGAGGGTTTCCATTGTTTTGGCCGTATGGGGGCGTGCATTGTCTTGAAGGAAGGCTACCCGCTTTCCACCTCTCTTCCCCCTTGGATCGGATCCTTTCCTTCACGTCTGTTGCCAGGAGGTCTGAGTAATAAGCTGCATTGACTGTTCTGGCATCTGTCAGAAAGTCTACATGGATAACCCCCTCCCAGTCCCAGAAGAACGTTGCCATCACTTTTCCTGCCGAATGGCTCCTCTGCGCTCTCTTGGGTTTGGGAGAACTGGTATGCCACCACTGGCGTGATGACTGCTGGGACTCGGGAATGAAGTAGTGCACCCACGTTTCATCGGTGGTCACTATAGACTTAAAAAATGCATCACCTTCGTCTTCAAACTGCTGTAGGAGATGACTGGCAACTTGCATGCGCACCATTTTGTTCACGTCCGTCAAAGTGCGTGGTACCCATCGTGCATTCACTTTGCGATAGTGCAGGTGGTATTTCATGATGTCTTCTACACTACCAACACTGATGGACAGCATTGCTCCAAGTTCCTTGATAGTAATGCACCCATTCTCACGAATAAGTGCGTCTGCATGATCAATGTTTGGCTTGGTGACGGATGTTCGCGGCCGATGATCATGCGGTTCATTCTCCACGTGCTCTCTGCCCTCTCTGAAGCACTTACACCACTCAAACGCACGGGTCCATGAGAGACACTCTTCCCCATACTGTTATTGGAGTCTGGCGAATTTCAGCGGACGGGACATTTTCTCCAACGAGGAATTTGATCACAATGCGTTGTTCCACGCTCCGCGGTACCTTCTGTTCAGTCATCACTTCAGCAACTTCCAGACAGGACTGAACAGGTTCTAACCCTAACAGGAGGGAGGGTGGAGGTGGCGGCGGCTTCACTCTCTCAAGGTCGCACAGCTGCTGCGCAGTGCGGCTTGTTTATGAAAAAATCAGTCCCGGTTATATTTGAACCACCTAGTATTTGTTCAAGACTACAGAGTGATTTTATAATGCAGAACTACTCTATGAAGAAGCAGGGAACAATTTTTACAGTATGTGTCAAAATTACGAGAAAACATTAGAAATGGACTATAACTTCTTCGTCTAAGTATTTTCAAATCTTATGTTATAGTATGCAGCATTAGGTTCTTTGCTGATAAAGGCAAAGTTAATTTCCAGTCATAAGAATTGTGTTAGATACAGCATTTTAAAATACAATGTAAGCGCCCTAAGAGGAACTGACAATTGAACGCAGAGCAGCAATGGCCATTTAAACGCGCACCAGCAGCAGGCATTTAAATAAACTCTGTCTAACCTAAGGTAACACCATGTTAAAAGTCTGGCTTTTGAAGGTTAAACTTTTATACTTTTCGTGTTATATATGACTGTTGCTAGACAACGCTTCGGTAAACATTCTTGAGGTTACATAGTGCCAAGAGGAACTGATGGGCAGTAAACAGCCAGTTGTGAATAACTCTGAGAAGTTCAGTGTGTGAACAGGGATTCTTCATTTGTCCCAGTGGAAGAGAAGACACTTGTAGTTCAGTAACGACTGGACCGAGTTGTAGATGGTCACTGATTGTGAGCTGTTACAATTGGGTGTAATTATAATAGAAGTGCCAATAAATCCGTCTAATCCAGAATCTGCTATATTCATCAAGCAAATGCCGAATACATGGCAATATGTACCTTTCCCATACTACTACTACGACCGCCACCGCCACCCCCGCCGCCGCTACTGACAGTGGTGAAGTTGATGAATGTTGAATAACAGTTTGATTGTTCTCCATAAATTATTCAGTATTTTCAAACTGATATCTGCTTGCACAACAGACACAAATTCAAATGAGGTCATGGTTTATTTCCTCACATCATATCCATTATTCATTGTCAGTTTATTATTGTTAAACCTGTTGACCTTTGCAGAAAGTCATTCAGTCGATAGAGATGAAATATGAAGGAATGCATATTGCACTGTAATGAGGACATGATAGTACAAGTAGCTTCCTGGAGCTTTTCAAGTCTGTAGGATCTGAGGTCATAGTGTGTTCAGGGTTGCACTCATTTTGCTTCAAGGCTAATGCCAGTTGTGGCAGTGGGATCACAAGAATGAGGTGCCAGGTCTTCTGTCACGTCTGTACTTAACAGTTCTACAGGATATTGTTTGTTTCGAAAATGAGGCATATTCTTAATGCATATATCTTGTGTGATTTCTTCTCACACTCATCTGTAAGAGGGAACTGGGAGTGACTGGACTACAAATTGGATATTTGAAGAATACTATCTTCTGGGATATAACGCCGTGTAATCTGTTGAAAGTCAACAACTGTTTTGGAGGAAGAGTATGCCTCCGTCTTCAGAAAAGGAAAGCAGTGACAAATAGAGCAGCTGTGCTTGCCACCTGGCTTCACGCTGGTATCCTGAATGGTTTATTCTTCGACCCTGTAGATGGAGGCGGTGGTCCTCTGAAACAACACAGCATTAAATCCCTGAAGATAGTATATTTAATCAATACTGTTCAAGCCACTCTTGAGAAAAACAGTATTGTAACGGATTTGATCATCGTGTTTCCAGCTCTGTAAACATGGTCCAACACTCAACAATAGAACAGGCTGTTTTCTCCATGTCCGCTGTGACGTCATGCAGTGGTGGGTGGTTGTCATCCGTCTGTGTTTCGTGTGACGTGTTCAGTTACTTGGCTATATAAGTGACAGAATTTGTTTGGTTCAGGGACAAGTCAGTTCTTGGTAGGAGATAGCCACGGGAAGTTTGTAGTTGAAGAAGAGTGAATTGACATTGGAGTACAGAAGAATTAGAAGTCAGCCTGTGAAGAGTTAACGTGTTGTGATTAGAAGATTTTATTTATATGTAATATTTGGAGTGTGTGATTCAGTGAGACTGTTATAGTTCCTGTGTTATAAACCTGTGAAGACTAGTGCAGACAGACTGAAGAGATAATGTGGAGTGATTGTACATTGGGTAAAGCAGCAGTAGTGTAATAATTAATTGTAGTTACAACCTTTAAGTTTGACTTGAAAGGATTCTGACGATGGTGTATACACTACTTCTTTTGGTTTATTTTGGACTTTACCCATTGTCTGGTATGTGAAAGACACATACCAGACGATGGGTGAAGTCCAAAATAAACCAAAAGAACCTTTAAGTTGTTGATAAATCTAATTACCAATCCAAACCCCGTCTTTAGTCACTGATAAATGTGACAGTATTTTGTAATTGATCCTCTGCTGGTGGCAAGATTTTCAGAGTGCACTATGTATAGGATGTTTTTGCTTGCAAAATGATTCTTCGGTTCATTGCCCGTGTAGATAGGTGAAAGTTAAGGCAAATCAATGTAGCAGTTTTCAATAGAATTTACATCTCACATTTGGGCTGCAGAGGGCTTACTGTTATTTTTTTTTCAAGAGTTATAGGGTTGGTTGTTCATAAATTATTGAAATCTAATCAGAATCGCTTGAGCCAATTTTTAGAAAATCACTGTGGTGTTTTATGGGACCTATCTGAAGGGGCTCTGTTTTTGGAGCCAGAATGTTCTTATTACTCAGGCACAAACTTATGATGGGTAAGCTTATAAATACCGAATATCAAAAATATATTTCCAATCTTCCAGGCACTAGCTACGCACACAGATTTCCAGAAACAACTGCGTATTCAGGCGGGATGAAAACACATAAATCTGTAAAAAATCTTGAGAAAGGAAAGGGTAGGTGAAGATGATGGTAGAGTTGATCTGTGCTTAATTAAACACAAAGCCACGAAGATGTACGGGAAAGTTGTAGTCACGTGGCACTAGATGGAGGCCAATGGCCATCCTAATGCCCTGGCTAAGAGCCTCCAGTGCCCGTTCAGTAGGAGGCAGGGTCGACCCCGGAGCTGGTCTCAGTGCTGTGGGGAAGAGAAGTCTCTTGGACCTGCTGGGAATCGAATCACACTTCCTCAGAAATCCATCCTGTAGGCTAGTCACTATACTGAATGCACGGGGTTAGTGTCCATTTTGAAGAGCTGAAGAAAGATGAAACGTCTGTTATGATAGCAGCTAATCATACCTGATGTTTGTGCCACTCAGCTTCAAATATCTTAACAGGCCTTTTTATATCCACTGAAATGTGGTGCTTGGTTTTCATGTGGAGCGTTTGGTGGTAGCACAGATGCTAGAATGGTGTTACAAGAGCAGAATCTTTGTTTTGCAGTGTATGAAATGCTGCAGTGTGCAAAGGAATGTGCGAACCGCAACTCGGCATCTTACCTCACATTTGGAGAGTTCTGCATCTTCGCAACTGAGCTGAAGAGGTGTTATGAACGAGGGTGAGTACCCAGCAGAGCTCCATTATTATGGCAGCTCCACTGTTCCATAAGTAAAACAGAACTTTATGTATATTCTGGTCATAAAGGTTTTTGACAGTTTGTTTTAGTACTATTACAGAATTAAACCAATTACCACAGATCTTTAGAATCACAGTATAAATCTGTTTTAACCTAGAACAGGGTACAGAGAGTTGGTATAGCAACAGGCTACAGGATGGATGATTGGGGTTCGATTCCTAACTCATGTAGAATGGTGTACAGAGAGTTGGTATAGCAACAGGCTACGGGATAGATGATCGGAGTTCGATTCCTGGCAGAGCAATAAATTTTTCTTCTCTCACTAATGTCCAGACCAGCTGTGGGGCCCATCCAGCCTCCTATGCAATGGGTACCAGGATCACTTTACCCAAGTGTAATGTGGCTGGGGCACGAAGCTGACAAGTCACCTGCGTCCAGTTCCCAGATCGAGAATGGTGTACCTATACCTCCACTCCCACATGTTGTCATTAGGCATGATCAACAAAAAGAAAGTCATAGACTGTGTTTTAGGTAGTTGGTTAGTGAGTGTGTAACTAGAATAACATAATTGAGTTGTCCAACTGAATCACTGAGACGAGCCATCAGTAATCGAATGCTTGGAGTCACTTAATATGAACTTTTGGTGTCAGAGATGAGTTAATTGACATACATGATGATTCTATGTAGCAGGCTGAAGTGAAATAAGTCATTTTACGTGATGACATAGACATTAGGTAATGCAAGTGTAGAGAGATGGCTGGTGAGTGATTTCAGGTGATTCAAGTTACCAAACTGAATGGGTGAGTTTGATTTGGATTGGATCATTAATGAAGGAGTGGCCTGAATCATGATACACCTACTCTGCTGGTCTAGGTTTGGCACCTACACTCATGTCATGACAACCTCCTTTACTCTCGAGTCGTGACTTGCTACTGTCAGTTGAGATCTAACTTAATTCACTGAATGATGAATGACTTTTTTTTCAAAGTCAATCACTGATTCATATCTGTGTGCTGACTCAACTGCTGTCACCAAAGACCTATTTTTCCTGTCTGTAATTGTATTCTTCAGACTAACCCATTATGATCATCTCCCTTCTCCTCTGTTGATATAAGTGTGCTGCCTAGCAACACAGCTTCTATATCTGTCCGCCTTCCCATCTCCAATATTCAGTTTTCTCCCATGTTTTTCTCTCCATTCAGCATGGCGGCTTTCTTAATCTGATGCTGTTTTCTTGATCTCAGTCATGTGTCAAGTGTTTTCCATTTATTTTTGTGTTCAAAACAGTGTTTTGAATTCTGTCTTCTTTAATTTGGAAATATGCCTGTACCATCTGAGTCTTTTATTTAGTAATTTATTTTTTGATGTATTTAATTTTTAAATTCTCCTTGACTGTTTTCTGACTATCATACTCTTTCCTTCTCTACTTAAATCTCATCTAAGCTGCTCTTAGTCTCCTGTGTCCATCCCTATATTTCTACTGCATATGGTAATTTGGACCTGTAGCAGTTTTTAAATAAACACTCTACCTGTCTTAAGCATGTTCCATTTTCAACGCATGGCCCTAATTAATTGGTAAAATGTTCTTCCATTTTAAAATTCTGTCATATGATTCTTCATTATCTGGACAAAAAAGTACAATGTTGTGAAGTTAGCGCTTTGTCTCATCTTTAGATGAAAGGGAACACAGTAGATTACACTAGCTCTCTTCATAAGCAACCTTGCCTTCAAATGGGGCGGCAAAGCAGCTGGGGGGTGAAGCTGACCACAATATCAGAATGGTGGAGCTGTACCTCCACTGCCTCATATGTCTTCGTGGTGTGGCAGAAGGTGGAGTTATCCTTGTGCTTAATTATGGAATTAAGCACCACACCATGGTGACATGGGGGGGTGGAGGTATATCTCAACCTTTCTTGTTCTAATTACTAGATGGGAGGTGAGTAGTTAGCTTCACACCCTGGCCGCTTTACCCCTCAGCGAAAACAGCCCTCAGGTATCCACTGGGTAAAGAGACTAGGTAGGCCCCAGAGCTAGTCTGAACACTATGAAAAGGAGAAAAACCTTTGCCCCTGCCAGAAATTGAACCCTGTCTCGTCATCTGTCCAGCCCGTAGTGTAGCTGCTATACAGACAGAGCTTCATACAGAGACATCTTTACCTCATCATAAACACTGAAATGGTTCAGAGGAGGTTTATGCAAACAGTGGGCATGTGGTCAAAAGTGAAATACAAATCAAGGCATATCAATAAAGGTGTTGTTATTATGATTTCGAAAATGATAGAAATGAGTACTTTCCTGGAAACGAGACCATAAGAGAATGTAGTGTGTTTATGGCTTAGGTACAACTGTTGTCTCTGTGCTTGAAATGGATTCGACATGGAACACTGGCTTAGCCGATGCTTGCAGACGTGGGTGTATGTTATTAAGATCTTCTGTGTCCATAATACAGCTAGCTAGAATAGACAACAACTTTAGTGCAAAGTATTCATTTAGTTAGCTTTTGATGATGACACTTTTTGTTTTCCTTGACCTTCTCTGATGATCATATTGTCTTGTTTAAGGTCATGGAGTTCAATGCAGTGATTGTGTAAGTGATCTGAATTTTAAATGGAGACATTGAATGGTGATTTTTCTGTAACATGAATCTTGACTGATAAGGTATGCTTATTTTTTCTGTGGTCAGCTATGATAGCAGCTTTGAAGTTTTTATAAAGTAATTTCTGAAATAATCGTCACATTTTGAGCCAGGCAGGCTGGTGTAACAGGAGGTGCTGAGATGAAATCTCATATGGAGCACCAGCTGTTCTGACTGAGGCCTCATGGGTTTTTCAGTCCCTCAGGCTACAGTAGTGCCTTGTCTATTGGGCCATGACAGCTTTCTTCTAAATTCTTTCCAGTTCATTATTGACTCTTAGTCCCACCATTTCATGCTATGTAGCAGGGGTGATGACCAGACTGTGGATCCTTTGGACTGTTAATGGGGCTTGTGCGGGGAAAAAAGTAGTAGTATTATTAAATCATTCTTAGAGATGAATTCAGTATGAAATACCTGCCACATGGAAAGCATTTCTTAAACACCCATGTCATGCAATCTATGTCCCTTTGTGGCTCCAAAACTTCAAATAATTATTATAATGTGGCTTCGGTGTTAAGCAGGTTTGGCCACCTCTGCTCTGTAGTCTGAATGTTAATTGACAGTGTCATAAAATAAGCCACAAAATGGAATTCTAGAGTTTTGAAGACATTTATATTATGTAGGATCATTCCATTTGAAATTGGCTGATTGAAATGCATCAAAATACGAATTTTGAGGACTGATGTGTTGTCTTGGACCAATATCCAAAACCTTTTCTTCAGCCAGCACAATTGTCTTCGATTGCTTCTTTATGTCACACACTGAACCTGGCCTGCCACTTTTTCACAAGCTTGGATACACACAACTTTGTGGGAACTGATGAATCAGGATATTTACAATGAAACTCACTGAGACATTTTTGTAAGTTTTTTCTTTGCAAAAGTTTTGACAATAAACGCACACTGTTCAATAGTAAACTTCATTTCAGTATAAATGTCGACTGCCTATCAACACCTCTAACACAGACTGACTATTGATGCGATTTACTGCAGTGACAAACTCAGGCCTCCTGATGGTTTCCTTGATGATTGAATAACCTTTAGCCATATATATATATATATGGCTAAATATATATAAGTAAAGTAAGATGTATGTTGCAATGATATGAAGAGAAACTGAATTTGCCATGAAAATCTGTACTGCAGAATGTAGCACCACATATTATCAAAATCAGTTAAGTTCTTTCAGAAATGTAACACAGGTGGAAGGACAGACGAGTTCCTCATTGTATATTCATTTTCAGTTTGTGCGAAGAAACTATAACAATAATTACAGTGGATCCTTGATATACCACACTTCATTATGCTTTGGATTCTCATATGCTGTGGTGGTGATTATGTTTCCTAATAAGCAATATGTTCTTAAAAAGTGCAGTTATCAGTTTCAACAAATTACGTAATGGGACTGTTTTCATAAGGAGGTATAAGTGTAAGTAAGTCTGTGCCAATAGCTTTGGTGAAACATAAATCTGAAATGTGCCATAAATTTCGCTTATTTTTGTCACTGTTTAAATATACATAATATCGGATTCAGAATCGGATAAATATCGGTTTCATACCTGTAATGTGGATGGCTAATAATGCAGGTACAGAATCTGCCATTCTGAAGCCTACGTTACATCGAGGGTGCACTATATTGCTGTAGGCTTACAATATTCTAATGTGTGTTACTGACAGTAAGGGATTGGTTGAATTCTGACTGAACATAACTACGTGTAACTATAGTGCTGTCGCTAATTCACGCACTCAGAAGTTCACTACAGCATGTACTAAGTCTTCTCAGTCTTGCTGTATCTTCACCATTTGTTCCCTTGTAATGGCTTCCAGCGGCCAATGTTCCTCTTGTTCTGGCCTTGTAACAGTTTCCAGTGGTTGTTGTTCCTCTTATTCTGGGTTCCCAACCTATCCCCATATCTCATCTATCAGCTTCTGTCAGTAACAGCTGACAAGGACTAAACCGCAGCAGTCCTCTAACTCGACCAACCGACTGACCGACACTTGACAGGCTAACTGAACTGAACTTGGTCGGTTGAGTGATATCGCCTTGGAGCAAACGACATAGAAGACACCCCTTCCAACAGCACTTCCATTGTTGTTTGTGGGCTGCTGCCTTGCAACGGCTGTTGTCGCTCGTTTCTTCGTCATTGCTTAGCAAGATATCTATGCCACAGTAGTTAGTTATTGGAGAGGGTGGGTTTCCCCATGCACTTAGACCCGTATTGGTCCATTGTGCTTCCCTCTATGATTTCTACCAGTCTCTATATCCTACCGGTACTGGTGCTTACCATCAGTCCCGCCCAGCCAGCGAGACCGGCTCTACTAACTGAGAGGTATCTATAATGCTTCCCCCATCTACCAGAGGTATTAGAGACTGCTGTTGGGCGGGAAACATCCGTAATTTGGCTCAGTGACCTCCTTTGGAGATATGAGGTTCTTTTACATGCCTTAAAGCTACGACACGGGACCCACGGCTTAAAGTCCCTCCCGGAGGACTTGTTCCCTGAATTTTTCCGCCCTTAAAAATTCGACGACCTCCGCCGGGTATTTGAACCCGTGTACTACGAGTCATGAGGGGGGATGTTACCTCTAGACTATGGAGGCCGCTCTATGCCACAGTATATATGCTCATCATACATCAAGTGCCTCGTGTTCTTGTGCTGATAATGTTGATAGAATGAAATGTACCAACTAAAGCTTATACTTTTTTTTAATTTTGTTATTTTAGAATTCCTCGACCAGTGCAGCTGTCCCGACTGCTCGAGAGAGATGGGGAAGAGAAGAAGAGAAGAAACAGGAAGATGTCAAGTAAGTGTCTTTTCCTATGCAACTCGTTAACCACTGTAAACCTTTAATTTTGCTGATGATCTCAAAATTTTCCATGTCATTAACTTGCCACATGATTGCCTCTTACTTCAATCTGACATAATTTCCGTGAGCGACCGGTGACTCCACGAGACTTAATGTTGCTAAAACACGTGTTGTGTCATACACAAAGAAAATTAATTTTTTGAATTAGGAATGTCAGCTTTGTCATGCTATCATTACACACCTAGCAGTATTAAGGACCTAGGTGTTTTCTTTGATTCAAAATTATATATTCACACATGTTGATTATGTATTTTCTGAATGCATAAAGCTTTTAGGCCTTATTCGCTCCGTAACTTACAGATTTTCCTCCCTGGAGTGTATGTATGTACTATACTTTACTTTAGTCAGATCCAAGTCGGAGGATGCCTAGGTAGTTTGGAACTTCATCACTTTGACTGATGCCAGTAAACTTGAGCGCATCTAGCAGTAGTTTGCATCCGTCTTTTTTTATCGTTTCTTCCCTCGTATTCCATACAATTATACAGATGCCTTGTAGAAATTGTATACAATCTTTACGTAAACGGAGACATCACCTTGATGCACTTTTCTTTTATTCAGGTCTGTCTTGGGCTTAAATCTTGCTCTTCCCTTTTGGAAAACATTAGCCTTTGTGTTCCTCCCAGTAATCTTAGGGGCTTCTCATTGGTTGGTGTTTGCTCCTCTCATAAGCACTGTCCTGCTCGGTGCGCCTATGCTGCCAAGGCGGAGGGTAAAGATCTCGACATATTTGCAGTTGGGGCCATTTCTCTCAATCATATTTAGCATGTAAAAGGTAATAATTTTATAATTCATAATTTCATAATTTTATTTACATCCATAACTGTAAAATATACAATCGGATAAAGTCAAAGGGAATATATAGATTTAATAACAATCACACCTAACATAATCAAAGAATACATAAATACTTAAATATATTATATAAAAAAAACACCAGCACATGCATTAACAGACAATTACAGTCATTTAATTCAACATCTTACATATAAAAAAACTCCTGAAGAGAGTAGAAGGCATTATGCAACAAATAACACTTCAATTTCCTCCTAAACACTTTAAAATCAGATACATTCTTTAACTCCATAGGAAGATTATTGTATAGTTTTATGCCCATGTTTATCACACTTCTCTTACAACGATTTGTATTACAATGTTGGGCATACAGATTATGTTTATGCTTTGTATTGTAATTATGCACATCAGAGTTCAGAGTTGTATAGATTCTATTTTTTATGATAAAACATAAAATCTCCAGTATATACAAAGAAGTAACAGTTAAAATTTCTAACTCACCAAACAGCCTTCTGCAGGATGCCCGATTATCAACGCCCATAATGGCT